CCCCCGTTCTCTTTATGACTTTAATTGTCGTGTATTTTGAAATTAATGCTAGAGATGAATTTGACGGCAAAGCGGCCATATCTCCACGTGGTGATAATACGCATGCGCAGAAAGCTCATTTTCCGCACTCGGAACTACTCGGATGTCTCCGCAGTCGACAATGACAGTATGGAGCTTGCGGAATTAGCCGAGGATTGCCGATTGCATTTTCCGGCAAATTCAATAACGACGTTTGCGACAACCGACTTCCTTGGGGGGTGGGGTGGATTTTTTTTTGTTTGGAGAACGGACGAAAATCGGTGCTCGCGCAGGATGTCATCCATAAAAATAAAAAGGTGTGGCCTAACGTGCAAAAAAGACATGCACCGTGTCTATTTCGTATTTTTAAGCCCTATAGCAGCAGAATTGACAAGATCCATGCCGCATTCGTCTTTTACTACAGAACTTTGAGCCCCGAAAAAAACATGGCTGTGTCTGTTTCGCCGCTTACTGAACGCTTTAGAGTGCATTCCCATTGTTTTAGATCGATCCATTTTGATCGACCTGACTCGATCCCTGGGGGTTCACGCTAAATTGCTGTCAGTCGAGCGCGCATGATAGTTAATTACCCCCTTACAGCTTGTAGTACTCGGGACAGACGCTCTTATGGGCCATGGAAGCCTACTGGTCCACCGCCGCATAGCGTCATTCTACGGTTTGATTGCAACAACACAACTTTTGTGTATGCACCGCCCACATTGCTTGGTATAACTGTGAAGATGGTAAAATGAGTTGTCTATGTCATTTTTTCCATATAGTTTATGCATTATATGGAACATAAGATTTACCCTAGTTTCCAGAGTTCGGTATTGCCAGCTCGATCTTGATTTCTTATATAACCCACATCAGCAACACCGTATAGTCCTATAAAGCGTACCAGAGTAAAGAGAGAAGATATAGTGAACAAGCTTATTTTTAATAATGTCCTATCACTCAGGGTAATATCTGCGCCAAAATTTCTTGACATAATTGACCCATTTTTGACATTCAGACTGACGTCATTTCTGAGAACGAGGCTGGGGGAATCCCGGTGGTCATCCCTATATTAAAAACAGATTTGGCATTTGTGGATTTTTTTGTGATTCTGTGTACATTGAGTTGTAAGTTATGATAATTACGAAGTAGAGTTGGAAAACCAGACCAGACCATGCAGGCCCACGTGACAAGAATGTTTAGATGTTTTCATTATCATTCAAACAACGAAGGGCACGAAAAAACTTTGAAGTATCGTACATGTATTAAAATGGCAAAATGGCAGAACTAACTTGTTGACAATCAAGTTTCAAGGTTTATTTCAGCAATATCATGGCAAGCTCAACTCTCCGACAACAGCAGACATCCCAACCTTACAAATATGACTTCTGTGTGCTGTATTACAACACGGATCAAGTAAGGGGGGACCCAGATTATGAGGACGGAAGAAAGAGCTTAAAGTTTGTTAAAATATTAGTAAAACTCTTAGAAAAGATCACATGGCCTTATGGCAATAATACAAGACCGCTCAGAGGCTACTATGCAGATCGTGATTTGCTTCCCGGGCGGGTGATCATAAATGAACGTTTTCAAGTGATGGGGGAGTCCCGCTACACGATCGTTGTTTTGAGTCCAGCCTTCATTCGAGATTGTTGGTCAGAATACATTGCCCAGTTTGCATTCCGGGAGTTGATCGGTACGTCACGCTTTGTGCCCCTTGCCGTCCATGGCGTTCAACCCACCGATGGCGGCATCCCGGAACAGCTGAATCTCGTATCCATAGTATATTTTCGCCAAGGAGAAAGTCCCGAAGAAGATGAGATTGCCTGGACCAAGGTGAAGAAAACTGTGCTGTGTGAAAATCCACAACAGAGAGACTTAAATGAACAAGTAGGACCGATAGTGCCAGACAGTGGAAACTCTGGTAAGATTTGCATGGGATTGTTTACCTCCACTGGCAGGCATATTTCAGTGTTCAAATGGTGTTAAATTTTGTTCCTGCCTGAGTAGCTGTAAGTAATAATATATGATAACCAAAGGTCTGATTAAATAAATTTGAGATTTACCTGGAATCTAACCCTTTTTTTCCCCTGCAAAAAAAGCAAAAACTTTATAGCAGACTTACAAAGAGGGCTGCCA